GGCTGGGCGCGCTCCGCCCCCGAGCGCGCTGGGAGCGGCGCCCGCGGGGACCCCCGGCCGCCCCGCGGGGTGCGGGGCCGGAGTCTCGACCCCGGAGTAGTCCCTTGTTCCTGGGATGTGTTCGGCCACGTCTATGGCCCAGACCCCTGCGATCCCCAACTGGTCCAAGTTGGGGATCTAGCCTGGCTAGACCCTTGCCCTGGGACCCCTGGATGTCCCAGGAGGGTGCAGGGCCGGAGTCTTGTCCCCACGACCCGCGTGGCTGCTGCGACCTTGGGGCCTTCCCTTCTTCTCGCAACGTGTTGGGCTACGTCTATGGCCCAGGCCCCTGCGATCCCCAACCGGTCCAAGGGAGCCTGGCTGGACCATCGCCCTGGGACCCGTTCGATGTAAATCAGCAGCTTTGCCTTTTAATGCACTTGCCCGGAGGAGGATTGTGGAGGGTCATCCCCTGCGCGGGGGTGTGACGAGACCCAAACAAAACCTGGGGCTGCAGGCGGTGGTGGGGGATGCCCCGAAACGCTGCTGGCCAGACTGAGCTGCGTGGGCATCTCCCCTTTGCTTGTGCATCCCCTGGGCCCATCTCCCCTGTCTCCACGGGCATCTCCGCAGGCCCCATGGGCATCTCCCCGCCGATCCGTGGAGCACTGAGGACTCTGGAAGCCTCCAAAGCTGCTGCAGCCGCCTGCTCTGCATGGCGCTGGGTGCCACCAGGCTGAATTAGAGTGTCCTCCTCGCGGGGTGGCATTTGCAGCCCATCCCAGCCCCTGAGCTCCTGCTCCATCATGAAGGAAACCTCCCCGGCCGTGACCTCCTCCTTCTGCATCGGCCTGAAAGGGGGCTCATGGAAGGACAACCTGATGCGGGCAACCACAAGTGACCACGGGGTCCCCTCGTTCCGCTTGTGCGTCGCTGCCTCGCAAACACCACCGGCAGCGGCGGGAAGGGAGCCCCTCCGCTCGCAAGGAGCTGCCGGCGGGATGGAAACGCTCACGGGGCAGCGGGCCAGGCCGCGGCCTCCGCACGGCTCCGGGGGGAGGCCGCTGGCCCGGCCGCGGCAGGGAGGAGCCCTTTGGAAAGGGTCCCGCTCTCGCGGCCGGCGCCGGGGGCCGCGCTGCCCTTTGCGCGGCGCGGAGCTGCTCCGTCGCGCGGTCCCCGGGTCTCCGCTGACGTGCGCCGGGGCTCCCCGCGCCGCCCAGGCATGTCCCCATGCAAATCAGAGAAAATGCAGTTTTCTGCATTTTCTGCTTTTTCTAAATTGCAAATTAGAGAAAATTCCCGAGAGTGGGAATTCTGGGCTGGAGCTTGGGGAAGTGATTCCTCCTGAGGGCTCCTCCCCAGCAGCCACGTGGGGATGCAACGCAGGTGCCAAAGATGGGACACACCTTTGGGACACAGACGTCCCAAAGATGGGACACCTGCCTTGGCCCCACCGAGGCCTGCGAGGGATTCCTCCCTGCATCTTGGCTGCAGCACCGAGCTCCTTCATGACCACTGCTTCCACCTTCCCACCCCGGCTCCAGCCAGCCCCAGCAATCAGGGATGTCTGGCTGCATCGCCGAGACCTTCCTCCGAGACAACTCCTCACTTCCTCCCACCCTGCATTCCTGGGAACTGCTCCCAGGAACAGGCCTGGGAGCAGCGCGGTGTGGAGAACTTTCCAAGGTCAGGGCCGCTGCAGCTGCGCAGCGCACGGAGCCGAGCTGCTGCTGCCACGTGGGGAAGCGATAGGAGATGTTTTCTCCACGCTGGGAGGAAAAGGGCAGCCGGCTTCAACGAGGACCTTGCAGCCGGGGCCCAGCTGGATTGCAGCTTGGGAAATGCAAGGTGTTTTGTAGACGCTGCAAGATGTGCCCATGAGCACGCCCGTGGGAGCTGCCTGCTGCTGAGCCCGCGCTGTTGGCCCGCAGGCTTTGGGAACGGTGGCTGTGAGCAGCCCACGAGGATTTCGTGCTCCATCAAAGCCATGTCCACGCTCAGCAGCTCCCCATCCTGGTGCGAGCGGTCCTGGTCCTCTGCACGCTGGACACCTCTGGAAACTGGGTCCAACGAGTCCAGTTTCTCCTCTTTGCTGGGCCAATAATGGGTAATATGGAGAAGAGGGGTGAGACCAGCACGCCATCCAGAGCTGTGTGGACATCCAGCAGCCCTGGGCGCCCATGCGGCTCTTGCCTTTCCCTGCAGCCTTTCCAGCTGCAGACGAAGCTGAGGAACGGCCGGTCCCTGCTGCTGGGCAGCAATCCCGGGCCCTGTTGGCGTGCAGGGGTCACCAGCTCGAGCCGTGGGGACACGTTTCCAACACCAGCTGCCGCGGTCTAGTCGGCTCACAGCAGTGCTCCTGCACGGCCATAAAGTGCAAACAGCTCTGCTTTATCTCACCCTTTATCGCCGCATTTAACTTGCTCGTTTTATCTGCACTTGAATAATAATTAATCTCCGGGAGCAGTCAGGCCTGGCCCCCTGTTAATTTGCTGTTTGCCAAGAGCGTGTTCGGCTCTTGGGACTTGTCGGAGCTGCTTGGCTTTGCAAAGGGAATGATTCCTCCTGCCGAGCTCCCTCTCAGGTCTTTCCCAGTGGAAGTGGTGGCTCTGGTGTTGGTGAAAATGTCCGTTTTAAGCCGCAAATGATCAGTGCCGGCCTCAAACCTTGAGCGACACGGGCTGGGAATGGCATAGAGCCAAAACCAAAATCCCCAAGGCTTTGAGCTCCCCATTTCAGGATGTGGGCAAGTCAGGAGGAGGGCTGTAACTTACACGTTTTGGAAAAAAAAAAAAAAAAAGACTTTTTTGAGGGCTAAAACTTCCATGTTTTGGCAAAAAAAATAGACTTTTTAAAATTTTATTTGCATTTATGTGTGGTTCTGGCTGCAAATGGCTCCCCGTTCCTCCGGGGTCCCTCTCCACGAGGGAGCTGCGGTCAGGGCTCCCGCTCAGGGTCTCTGCAACAGCCCCTCTCAGCAAGGAGGCACAACCCTTCCAGGACAGTTCCCCGTGCCCATAAATCATGGCAGGACCTTGGAGACTCCGGACTTGTTCCCCCAGGCTCACGGTGGCCTGGGTCTCCTCCCCGCTGCAAGGGGTCTTGGTGGCAGGGGCTGCACCAGGATCGGGGGCAGAGAGGTGCTGTTTTGCAGTCCTTTCCCTGGCTGGAGTCACGAGTCCGTAGGCATTCCCAGAGCCGGTGGCATTGCCTAGAGCCCCCAAAATAGTCCGTCCCCAGGTGATGCAGAGGATTGGGAGGAAGAGGCTAAAGCAATGGGATAATGAAGCCCAAGGATGCTGCTATGGGGCTGGGGTGATGCTCCCTCCCTGATGTGGAGCCTGGCATCACCTTTTTGGTCCCCCTATCTGGGTGGCTCCTCTCCTCTCACTCGTGGCTTGGGCCCCTCCACGCTCTGGGGACCTGCCCCACTGGAGACCTCAGGGGCTGACACGACCAGCCCCGTCCAACTCACCCCAGACCCTGACCAGACCGTTTCTTGGGGTGCTTCCACCGCCTTTTCCCCTTGCCTCTACCCTGCGAGGCCAACTGAAACCTCCTCCATCTCCAGACTCCTTCGAGGCTCTTCCATAAATCAAGTCAGGGACAAAACAGCATTCCAGGAACGCGGAATGCCCTGGCTTGCTGTGGGAAAAGCAGCAAACGCACAGCGGGTAAAGCCTGTGCCCTGTCAGACGAGTTCCCTTTATAGCCCTAGGGCTGCCCTTTCCCACAGAGAGGACGTGGTGCCAGGGCTGGCTGGCAGGTCCCGGGGGACCCGGCCTATTTGCAGACGGAGCAAGGCTCCAATGTGCGGCAGGGGGACACGGTGGCCGGCCGCAAACTGCAGGACTATCTGTGTTCCCACCAGTGACCACGACTGCCGTGTCTCCAGCGGCACGTCTCGCACCGTCTTTAAGCATCAGCCTTTATGGATATGCAATGGATGGGCTGGACGTGCTGGATGTCCAGCTGGATGGGCTGGACCGGATGACCTCTGAGGTCCCTTCCAACCTTAAGCATTCTAGGATTCGATGGGCTGTAGATGGCACACTCAGAAAACAAGGCGCCTTCCAATGCTTTCTGATGGCTCGTCACCATCACAGAGGCTCAGGCTCCCTCTTGTTCTATCAGTGATGCAAATAGTCTAAAACAGCAGCTGGAAAATGCCTTTATGTGATACCTATGCTTTAAGCCTTCTGTGTTTGCTTTTCTATACATTTTTGATATCCTGGGAATAGGACCTGTTGCATTTTTGTTATGAGCAATATAGAACCTGATTCCAAATCAATTTCTGCCCATGCTGAGTTCTGGGGATGCTTGTCTGGAGTTCTGGGATGCTTGTATCCTTCGCACATCGAAGGATCCAAGACCTCGAGTCTTTCGGGACCAACAAGAAGGATGTTGAGAAGACGGAGCAGGTTCTCCCCAGTGATGCATGGCAGGAGGATGAAGAGCAATGGGTATAAACTGAAACCAGAAAGGTTCCGACTGGGCAATGTGGAGAAACTGCATGGAGCTTTTGGAGCCCTCTCTGGATGAGGAATAGGAGAGGGAATTGTGGTTGCACTTGCACGGGAGCAGCGTCTCTGCCCCGGAGCAAAGGAGGCTGCTGCCATCTAGAGCAGGGAGGCAGCCGTGGGGACCGTGGCCTGCGCTCACACGCAGCAGCCAAAAAGCTCTTTTCTCAGGCCTGGAAAGATCATCTTAACAGCCTAAAACTGGAAATGTATGGAAAAAAAATGTTAAGCTTTGAGCTGGAGTAAAGAACGGATTGCCAGGCTCTGGGCTGAGCGTCGGTCTCTGCCGCCCTCGAGCAGCAGCTGAGGATCCACTTAAGTAAGTGCGATGACTGATTTGGAAAAGGCGGGGGAAAACGGGAAAAAACGGGGAAAAAACCCCCATTCTCGTCCCCATTCCCACGGGAAGCTTCCAGGCGCTCGGTTTAAAACACGGCCAGACTGCTCCGGCATCTGCAGCCCCCATGTCCCCCCATCCCAGCACCCGGCCCCAAGCTTGGCCGGGTTCCCAGTCCTCTGTCCCCATCCCCAGGTGTCCCCAGCGCCCCCCATGTCACGTCCCATGTTTCCCCCCCCATGTCCCCCAGGACCCCATATACAGTGGCCCCCATGTCGTGCATCTCTGCCCCCCAGCATGTCCCCAGGGCCACCAGCTGCGCCCTGGCGTTCCCAGTGTCCCCCCATCTCCTCCCTCATGTCCCCCCATGTCCTCTTATGTCTCCCGAGGTCCCCTCGTGCCCCCCCATGTCCTCTTATGTCCCCTGTGCTCCGTGTCCCCCCACGTCCCTCCTCACCCGCCCCCCCCCAGGTCCTCCCAGCCGCCAGGGAGGGCACTGGAGTGGGGCGGGGCGCGGGGCACCGTGGGCGGGGCAAGGGGGCTCTGTGGGCGGAGCCCTGGACTCTTGGGGGCGTGGCTGGGCCGTCTGGGCGGAGCTCGGGGGGCCGTGGGCGGAGCTCGGGGCGCCGGAGGCGTGACCGGGCGGTGTGGGCGGGGCTCGGGGTTCTGAGCGACACCGGGGGCTCTGGGTGGGGCTCGGGGCGCCGTGGGCGGAGCTTAAGGCGTGGCCAGGCGCTGTGGGAAGCCGTGGGCGGAGCTAGGGACGCCACGGGCGGGGCCTGGGGCACCGTGGGCGGAGCTCGGGGCGCCATGGGCGGGGCCGGGCCCTGTGGGCGTGGCCGTGCGCTACGGGCGGAGCTCGGGGCTCTGGGCAAGGGCGGGCGCTGTGGGCGGGGCCGGGACCCATGGGCGGGGCCGGGCGCTGTGGGCGTGGTCGGGAACTGTGGGCGTGGCTAGGCGCTGTGGGCGGGGCGGGGCGGAGCGCTGCGCCGGGGCGGTGGCTCCTCCTCCTCCGCCTCCTCGTCCTCGTCATGGCGCCGCGGCGGGCGCTCGCGCTGCGCGGGGCCTACGCGGCGGCCGGCGCCCTCATGGGCCTCGCGGCCTTCTTCACGTGGAGCCTGGCGCCCGCCTTCCGGCAGCCGGCCACGGCCGCCGCGGGGGGGCTCTCGGGTAGGCCGCGGGCGGGGCGCGGGGGGGCCCCGGGGGGGGCGGTCGAGGCCCCCGCTGCGCAGCGACCGTTTTTTAAAAAAATTCTTAAAATTTTTTGCTTAAAAGGGATCTGGGAAAGCCTAAAATACCCTTTTTTTCCCTTAAGAGTCCTTAGAGCCTCAGCTACGCGTTTTGTTTCTGGGGGGTCGCCTCAGTGGGGGCTGGTGTGGGGGGATAGCTGCTGCAGGCTGCAGGCCTCACTTTGGGTGGTAAACGGCGCTTCCTGGGCGGCCTGCTCGCGCCAGGGAGCATTCCCTGCGTCTTTAATTCAATTTTTATTTTTTTTTTAAATTTAATTTTAATTTCATTTAGTTTTTTAATTTGAGGTTGTCCCTGGCTTCGCGCTCAGGGTTTGGGCCCGGCAGCTCCTGTTTGGGTCCGGTTTGTGTTTTCGAGGTGAATAAACCTTTGAAATTTGTCCCCAGCAAAACAGCTGGGGCAGCCGAGGCAACCGGAGCCCAAAAGCGCCTCTGGATCCCCTGCCCCCCAACGCCTCTGGATCCCCCCCCAAACACCTCTGGATCCCCCCCCCAAACGCCTCACGATTCCCTGTCGGGATGGGTGTCGTTTAGGTTAATTGGGGGCATCTTAATTAAGTTTTTTTGCTCAGACCACAGCGTTGATTTCCCAGCTTGGAAACTATGGGGTTTTGCCTGCTGGAATAAGAGAAAGTGGGTCAAGAAAGGGTAGAAAGTGAAGTTAAAATTTGGGGCCAAATCTGGCTTATTGCCTGTGCGTTATTCAGATGATATCGACCTGGAAAGGAGGGAAATTTGTGCGCTGCTTAATTGCTCGCCAGGTAATTGGAGCTGGCTTTAGCTGGGGGGCGGTTTGGGTAGGCAAAAAACAGCAAAGAAAACAAGTTTTTTGGGTTGGGCTCTGCGTGTTCCCGTGTCCGCAGATATCTGGGAAATATCCAGCCCAGGAGCTGCAGGTGGCATTGAGATAGGATTGCAAACCCTCAGAAAACCAGGCAAAAAACATCTTTTTTGTATTTTTTGCAGCCCCTCCGCTGTCCGTGTCGTCGGTTGTCACTCGTTGCTGTTCGTGATGCTGTCGCTTTGGGGCCTTTGGTTTGTCAGGGACTTGTGCTTTGGGTTTCTTAGCCACATTTTCTCTCTTGCACAATTTTAGACCAGCTATTTTAGTTTATTTTTTAGTTCAGTTAATTTAAGTTTTCTGAGAGGTGCCGCTTATTCCCGTCTCGTTAGAAACCCATGTCTTTCTCAGCCGTTCTCTGCCCATTTTCGTCCCTGTCTTATTTTATTAATGCCCCTTGCAGAGGAGCGCAGTCAAATGCTGTGTCTATAACGAAAGCCTTTAATTACCCTTAATTACTAAAGGAGAAAATTGCAGTGTCAGCCGCTGAGCACCTGCCCTTCCAGTCTTTCTGGTTGATATAATCACACCCTGCACATAAAATATCCAGCAAAATTGACTCGCCGGCCCCCCAAATCAGTGGATCTTAGAGAAGGCACTGGCCTCGTATCTCAGACCTTCATTTTAAGCAAAAACATCCCAATTGGCTACTTTTAATAACCTGGGAGACAACAAATTTTCATGGATTGATCCCAGCAGCGAAAAGGCCGTTTTTGGGTTAATCCTGGCCATCCTGGTGGTTGCCCTTGCATTTTGAGCTAGTGACTTTTACAATTTACTGCTTGATTTTTGTGCTTGACCTTCCCTCTCCACTCCTGGCCTTAAATTAGTATTTTTTTCCCCAAAGTAGGCTGTGAATCTCCAGGAAACTCCACAGTTTTCACTCTGCCAGAGGCCGTTGAAAGGAGAAAAAAGCAATTAAATGTTTTCAGGAGGTATCCAGTCTTTTCCTGAGCGGCTTTTAATGTTCCTGGGTATCCTTTGTTTTTTAAACGCAATGATTAGGGGGGAAAAGTAAAAATCCTCTCCTTCCACATCCCTCCTTCTCTGCAAGGGGCGGCGCAAAGGAACTTTATGGGCTCTTCCCAAGCTGCTCGGATATTTTTGGCGAAATGGAGGGGAAAAAAGCAAAGTTGTGCTTTGAGAATATAATTTGGACTTGAAAACGGGTTCTAAAGCCCAGGATTTGCTGTGCGCAAAGCTAGGGGTTTTCTGAAGACCAAAAGGCCAGTTTTACTTGACTATATTAATTAATGCAAATGGATTTGGTCCCTATCCAGGGCTGGAATGACTCTTAATAATTAAAAAAAAAAAAAAATATGGGAACCATGGACTAAATCATTAAATATTAGGATTTGCAAATAAAATACTGCAAACTGTTAGATAAATGTTTGCCTCCTGGTTGCTTTAGTCCCTCATTTTGACAACATGGAGACGCCAAGGAGAAAGACAAGTGAAAGCCCCGTTTCCCTGGAAATCTCCAGGGTTTCCTCACCCTAGTGAGCTGCTTTCCTCAAATATTTTGGGGCTGATCCGTAGCTATTTGGGCTGGAGAGCTGCTCAAAGAAAACCCGGTTTTAACCTGGTCCAAAAGCAGCTGGAGCGGAGCTGGCTTGGCTTGAGCTGCCGGAAGGAAAAAATCTTTAACCCATTTTTGGGAAACCCATTTTTGGGAAACCCATTTTTGGGATGTCAACCAGATGGGGCAAATCGCCACAATTTATATATGGCAAAAAAAATTATATAAGTGCTGTTGACTTCGTATTTTCCAGGATTAGGCAGGCTGTTTTGTGGGGGAAAGTCATCATTTTTTTTGTTTGTTTTAATATCTTTATGTGGCATCGTTGCTCAGTGTTGGAGTTTGAGAAGACCCCAATACCCCGTGCTCATCCTGCAAGAATTTCTCCGTGTATTTGCTCATGTGTTCTCCTTTTTCCTTCTCTTTGGGGCCTCCTGGACGGTGGCTGCACCGTTATCCGCGGCAACAAACTCCCTTGTTTGGTCAGGACCAAAAATCGGCCGGGGATGAGGAGGGACCTCAGAAAAACCTTTGTGTTTGATGCCCTCTGGCTCTTTCTTTTTGAGAACATGCCACATTGATGTCATTTGCCTCAAACCGAGGTATATGAGGCATTAGAACGGGCAACAAAATAGCGATATTAATTTTGTTATAGCAGATATTAAATTTACAGATTGAGGCCCTTTTGGGTGATGTTTTTGAGGGTGTTTTAAGCGGGGCAGACGGAGGTGGATCTCATGGCCTCCATGCATCGCTGTGTTTTGGGTTCTGCTTTCGCTTCCCCGTGCAAACACGAGGTGCAAATTGCCTTGGAGAGCAGGGAAGCGCCCCTGGAGAGGGAGGATATTTGGGGGAATAGCTTGAAGCGAAGCAGCGAGACCTGATTTGGAAGGTCCTGCTCTTCATTTTCCCGCACTCTTCCTATGCCCTCTCTTCAGGCTCTTAATACCATACCTTTTATTTCCCATTCTGGCAAAATCTTTATTTTAAAAAGGGTGTTTTTGGAGGTTTTCTGCGCAGTTTTATTCCGGTTTTGCCTTTAATGGGACGTTTGCGATGTTGCTGCCTTGGGAAGCTCAGAAGAGCGAGGCCTTGTGATCCCGGGCATCTGCTTTTCTGCTTAGTCACGCCGGCAGGAATTAGGCCAGCTGCGGGGATTAACCGAGCACGAGACGGTGCCCGAGAGCTTCCGTAAAACCCTGGTTTAAGGAGGCAGGGCAGAGCGCGGGGCCGGGGGGCACAAGGGCGAGAGGAGCTGCAGCCCTGCTTGCCGGGGAGACCTTAGGATGCGGATTAACCTCCTGACTCGGCGTTTTCAGTGCTGAGTCATGCCCAGACACGTGCCCGGCTGCGTGTTGCATCCGCTGTAAATCCCGAGTTCCCCATTCCTGGGTTTATTCGGGTGCTGGAGCGCGGAGGTGACTGGGCCATTCGCCACCCACGCGCGGGGCTCTTCCAGCCACTCTCGTGGTTTTAAAGCCGTTTCGGAGGCAGTTTGATCCCGCTTTGCTCCTTCCAGAGATTCCCAAGAGGCAGAGGGCCCAGCTGCTAGGAAGGAGTGGGATTTTGGGAATGGAGAAGCGGAAGCTCCCGGGTGTCCTTCAGATCTGGGCAGCTTTGCCCGGGACAACTGCATCTCACAGCAAACAAGCTCGGGCCGCTCTCATGGCAGCAGTTAATATTAAAACCTCTTTTTGATAGCAGCATTTAATATTGAAACCTCTTTGTCAGAAAGCGTTTGCAGCTGCTGCTTGGGTATTTTCCTGCCTCTTTCTTTCCCTGTTTCCCCCACTTTATAAAAGGAGCTGCAACTTGATTAGGGACCAGGCGCTGAAGCCCAGAGAAATGTCCTTGGTGCTGCTGTTAAAGCCACAGTGAACTTGACTGTTCTGTCCCCAAAATACAGATGTTTAGGTGTGGGTGATTATGGCGAGTGCTGATAATGCCAGCAGGCTTTTCCTTGGATATTTGCCCTCCTTCGGGGGGTTTTGGGGCTCTGAATTGTTGGGGTTTCGGGTGCTGTTTTCGTGGGATGTGTTTTCTCTCCGACACCTTTGCGTGTCCGTGTGCTGCCCGGTACTGACTGCCCTTGCTGTCTGGTCGAGCAGGTGTTCTGGCGCTCTGGGCCCTAATCACGCATGTGATGTATGTGCAGGATTACTGGAGGACCTGGTTAAAAGGGCTGAGCTTCTTCCTCTTCGTCGGCATCCTCTTCTCGGCCCTCTCCGTGGTGGGATTCTGCACCTTCCTCGTTCTGGCCATCACCAAGCACCAGGGTAAGTGTTTTGTGGGGCGGAGTGGGTAGCAATTGGGAAGTGAGGAGCCAGGATGGTGTTAGTGGGGTCTCTGCTTGCTGTTTTGGGGCTTTCGTCCCTAAAAGTCCATCTGCTGCCCTTTACTTAAGTCCAAATTCATTCCTGCCTCTTGAGATTTGAGAACTTCAGCCCCGTGCAATAATCTGACAACTGTTGCAGGCAATCATCACAAATACATGCCAAAAGAAACCAAACATCTTCTATCGCCTTTGTTTTTCTTGAAGGCGTGAAGATAAATAAATAGATCTTGAAGGAAATGAAGATTTGGGGAGGGAAAGCGCTAATTTGAGGGTAAAGTAGAACATCCACAATAGCTGCTTCCATATGGAAATGTTAGGATCGAAGCATTTACTGGGTGAGTATTGCTTTGTGTGTTGAAATAAGTCAAAAATAAAGATACTTATGACCAAGCAAACGTAGTCAGGGATGAAACTGTTTCATGCAAAGGGTGACATAAGCATATTTTCAGTTTTTTGACACCAGTAAAACTGGACGTTGCACGTTTGCCTGAATGGTGCTGACACGCGCTTCGAAAGCAGAAGTCCATCCACGGGAGTTCTAAAATAATCCCGGAGGGTCAAGATAGATGCAGAAGAAACACGCTTGCATGAAGAGCCTCTAAAAAGAGGCTGCACCTGCGCTCGTGTGTGGTTAGCACAGCCGTGCGTCAAAGACCTGCACTGTGGGTGCCCCAATACGCATTCAGTCAGACCCAGACGCCCTAACTTACTATTCTCGTGTAGTAGAGATGAGAAAATGGTGCAAAAAGAGTTAAAAGTGCTGGAAATTGAAGACATTTAAGGTGTCTTCTGGGAGCACGGTTTACAGGTGGCAAACTCCAGGTGGTGAAGTCACGGCTGTGCGATGAAACGTGCTCTGTGGTGCTTGCCCAGGGTCCATAGCTGCTAAATAAACTTAGAAAAGAGCAGATCAGGAGTGTTCATGCGCTGGAGCCCTGACCTGGGAGGCTGCGTGAGGATTAAAGAGGGATTTTTAAAGGCATCTGTTGCCAGTTTTCTTTTTTATTCTCTCCTAGCCCTGACTGATCCCAGAAGCTACTACCTGTCGTGCGTCTGGAGTTTCATCTCCTTGAAATGGGCCTTCCTGCTCGGCTTGTATGCCTACCGCTACAGGAATGAGTTTGCAGACGTCAGTATCCTCAGTGACTTCTAACACTGGGACTCGAAGGCTGTGCGCTGGTGCTGAGCGTTTGCGTTGGCCCCCGAAGGACGGTACATGCAGGAGGTCTGCAAGAAGCGGAGCAGGAACCCACCCAGTGCTGCTTCCTTTGTCTGCAGCGGGGGTTTGGGGTTTTTTTCCTCATTGCTTTTATTCAAACACATAGAATTTGGCTAACTCTGTCAATCTAGTCTTTCTGTAACGTTCCTGGGAGCCCGTGGGTCTGGTGGTGGGTTGCAAAACTCCCATCTGCATGTGCGCAGCGAGCCCAGGTCCGCTCCTTGCGTTGCCCTGTTGCTGCAGCGCAGGGAGGCTCTCAGGTGGGGAGGAAATGCTGTCCCCACCAGGAGCTGTGGCTTGAAACGTTGCAGATGCAGCACCCACGTGTTTGGTCCTAGTGAATGAATCGCCAGCTTGCTCCAGGTGGGTGTCCCAGGTGTGTGTAGCCAAGAAACCCCACTGGGTGCAAGTTGTTCCATTGGCAGCACTGTCCCTCACAGAAAGGGAGGGATGGCTCCTCTTTTGAGGTAGGAAGTCTCTAGACCCCTTCCCCTATATTTTAACATCCCCTTTTACACGTTGGGCTGGGAATAATGTACAGCTTCAGCTCTGTCCTGTGGTCCGGACGGTGCGACGGAGAAGCATCAGTCATCTCGGTGCTCTGTCAGAGATGGAAACGCTCACGGACAGATCTGGTGCTGGAGCAAAACGTTAGCTCGGCCTCTTGGGGTTGTGTTGCACTAGCTCCTAATCCACGATCATTTAAAAAACACAGCTTCTAATACAGGATCTTCTTATGATACCCGGTGAGCGTGCGACTAAGGCAGTATTTAATGCTGAACTCTGTGGCGTGTAGGCGTTTCAGCCTACGTGCCTGTGCTGGAAGCAGCTTGGCTTTATCGACCGGCCTCTCCTGATCTCTGTCAGGTTCCCTCTCTGTGCCCAGGGCTGCTCTATGAGCTCGGTCTGAGCGCATTAACCCTGGTGCTTTGCTCCCTGCCAGCAGCTGCCCGGGAGGCTGGAAACCTCCCTGGAAAGCGAGGCGAGTGGTGAGCCCCGCTGGGCGCCTCGGCCGTGTCCTCGTGTCCTGCCGCCTCTCCCGCAGCCTTCCCTGAAGGGCCTTCTTGGCCCTCCGTGCCAGAGGGCACTTGGCACCGCAGCCCAGGACTCCAAGAGAGGTGTGAGTAGAAGGGCCCGATGCAGCGAGGTTGGCCCAGCTTTCTCTCCTACCGCACAAATCTGCCTTTCCTAGCATCTTAGTCCTCTCTGGACTACATCTTCCGTGCCCAAAAGCTGTGGCACCCACGGTGGAGGTTGCAAGTGTTTTTTTAATGTAGGTAGGTCCCCTGGGCATCTCTTGTGTTGTGTTTCTGCACTGTGGTGCTCATGTGGAGCAGCTCCGTTCTCGGGCCGGTGTCTCAACCATCATATTGGCTCGCCCGGAAAGTTTTGTTTTTCAGGTTTATTTTTGTGGCTCTCAATTTGCCTGCAGACAACCCGATTAACCTACCCCGTTTCCTCCTCAGTGTTGTTTTAGCTCTGGAATTCATACTCGTGCCTCGGCTTTTTAAAAGACCGCGTGTGCAAATATATCCTATATTTTTACATTGTTCATGCTTTGTTTGCACGCTTGGTGTAAGATGGGGTCCTGTAGCGGGATGAGGCAGTTCGCAGTGGGGTTCCTTCCTGTGTATCCCAGTGTCTCCTTGTACTAAATTGCCCTGTGTAACTTGTGTGTGACACCAGAGCAGAAATACAGCTTCTTTCTCGCCAAACTCGTGTGACGTGGCTATGAGGTCATTTATTCCGCCCCTATAAAGTTGTTTATTCCGTCTCTCTTTTAGCTCTCTTGTGCTCTTTCCAGCCCCTTCCTATCCGTGCCTGCGGAAGAGGATGGTCCGCCAGGGAAGTGCTCCTGTTTTCCATGCCGTTCTCCTCATCCGCAGCGTGCTGTTGGCAGAAGGCAGAACGTTCCCCCCCATCTCCTGCACCCCTGTTTTAATCGATTGAGCTACTATTTAAATTTTTAGCCTTGCAAGGGAGGGGTAAGTTCCTGCCTCCCGCCGCAGTTAGGATACCCCCTAACTCTTGGGGTAGAGGAGTGTCGCTGCGGAGCAGAGCACGAGGTGACGTGCAACAAGTCGGGACCCCAAAGGCTCTGTGGCAGGAGGGACCCCGGGAGCCAGCGCTCTGCCCTTCCAACTGCAGCCCCCCAAACAGAAGGGGCTGCAAGGGGGTCCCAGCCCGCGGAGGCTCCTCCTGCACCAAAGGTAGGTGCAACCTGGACCCATCTCAGGTGCCCGGAGGCTGCAGATCCCAGCAAGCGAGCCAGCCCTCCCGAGCAGCTCCCCTCGCTCAATTTTGCCGCGTTTACCCTCTTTTTGGGTGCACAGAGCTGGTGAGAGCACCCACTCTAGGGCTGGCTCAAGGGTTAGGGTGCCGGGGGCTCCTGGGTGTTCGTTCCTCATCATCTGTTTTCTGTAGCCCAGGCAGTGAGTGCGGAGGCTGGTGGGAGGCCATGGTAATTAGAACATTTGGAATGAATTTGGGAAACGCTGGGGCGACGTCTCAGCTTTGAAGCTTTTTTCCTAGATGAGGAAGGAGTCCAAGTGCTGGGAGCACCGGCCCCCCCTTGCTCTGCTCTGCCTCTCGTCACAAACGCCGCGAGTTTGCCGGGCTCAGCCGCAGCCCCGCGGGACGCCAGCGTGGTGCCATGGGGCGACCTTCTCCAAAGGGACCCAGCATGGGGCTTTGGAGCGCGAGAAGTCTCCTGCGGGCCAGGGAAGCCGTGGGGTGCGTGTGGGGGTCCCCTGCATGGCCCCCCCGAGGAGAACCCCCATCCTGGGCATGCGAGGGCAGGCGAGGCTCTTGGAGATGGACCGCTGGACGATCAGGATGACCGATGAGGACTGATGTCCCCTAGGCTGGTGGCAGTGCTGCCACCCGCTCCAAGCCCTGTGTCCAAAGCCTCTAGAAGTCCTCAGTATACCATGGGGGGCTTTGGTGGCTCCAGAGCAGAAATAGCCTCGGTGAGACCCCAAATTGGGGAGATTTGCCGCGGGGCGGTGGGTGCTGCGCCCCGGGGCCGGGCTGGGCTCCGAGCTGAGGGGTGACCTGCAGCTCCAGCCCCTTTGGGACCCTCCTTGGCTGCCCTGGGACCACGGGGTCTCGCAGACGCGCTGCCTCCTGCGCTGGGAGGCCGCTCCTGGCAGCCGCCCAGCCCCTTCGTGCCGGAATCCCAGCTGGTTTCGCTCTCCTGAGGAGCCACCGAGTCTCCGCCGTCGCTGGGGACGTGACGGGGCTGACAGCTCTAGTGTCGCCCTTCCCCGAGCTCGTCCTGCCCGCATTTCTCCCCGGAGCCTCGTTCCCGTGGGCTGAGCTTTGAGGAAGGGTTGAGCAGCCCTCAGGTGCCCGGGTTCATAGGGGAAAAGCTGCCTCCTTGTCTGGAGAAAAGCCTCGAGCCCCTGCTCCAGACTACTTGGTTTGGTTTGGACTTGGTTGGTTTGAAGGCAAATTACTCGTCGCTCTGACACTAATCCAGCAAGGGGACAGAGGAGCCCCCAGGGGCTGCTCGGTTTGTAGATGGCCTTGTGGTCCCATTGGGCTCCAAAGGGCCAGAGCAACTCGGGTCCTGGCAGGTGGAGCTCAGAACACCAAGTCTCTTGACGAGTCACAGAATGTTCAAGGTTGGAAGGGACCTCTAGAGATCATCTAGTCCAGCCTTCCTGTCCTTTTATGCCTGAAGGCTCACCAAAGTCTTAGTGGGTCCCAGCTACATTTCCAGGGCGCATTCGAGTCATCCTGCTTGCTGAAGGACGGAGGTGATAACGGACCTGGAGGAAGATCTGCCCCTTTCCAGCAGGGAACAGCCACCAAGGACCAGCTCTCCTGCTTTGACCTGTGTCACAGAATCACAGGTTGGAAGGGACCTCTGGAGATCATCTAGTCCAACCTTCCTGCTCCAGCATGGACACCCAGAGCAATTGGTACAGGGTGGCATCCAGGTGGGTTTGGAGACCTTCAGAGAAGGAGACTCCACAGCCTCCCTGGGCAACCTGTGCCAGGGCTCTGTCACCTTCACAGTGATGAAGTTCTCCCTTGTATGGAGATGGAACTGCCTGGAACTTCCCGTGTGTCCAGCTGCACTAAGCAGGATCCTACTTGCTTCTTGGCCCACGTGAGTGTGAACCAACTGATGGGACCAGAAGCTCAAGTGAGGTGTCCAGTGATGGTTCTGGAGCTGGATTTTGCCTCTATTTTTGGAAGTTCCTGTTCCCTTTTGGCTGCAAAGTCCTGTTTCCTTTGTAGTCCTGTTTGGAGAGATCATGGGAACACATGTTCACAGGGCTTGCTCTAGTCCAGCCCATGTAAGCCCCAACCTGAATCCAGTTATGTGTCCAGCAGACCCCTTGACCACACGACAGGGTGATTTTCATGGAATTGCCCAGTTTTCCCATAACTGGAGTTGCAAAAGCATGTGCACCATTTGGCACTTGGCTGCGGAAGGATGTCCTCCAAAGTTGGGCAACATCTGATGAGTTCAGCATGAAAACTGCGCATTGCAAAGGGCTTCTGGCTTTGGAAGGAACACGCCATGAAGCCAGCTCTGCCAGGCCCTGCTGCAGATCTCTGCCACACCATGAGTTCACGTCCCCAGCAGCTTGGTGCCCTTGCAGCCAGCCCGGAGATGGTCCCTTGTTTGTCCACATCCCCTGATCCCCTCCTCCTGCCTGGGCAGCACTTGAAAACATCCAAAGCGCCCTGAACGAAAACAACAGGTTTTTTGCATTTGAGCAATCTGCTTTCAAGATGTGGGGAGGCCGGAAGCGGCGTTTCAAAGGCTTTGAGCCTCCGCCAGGCGTGGAGGCTGTCACGGCTGAGCCCCGCTGGAGCTGCCGCGAGTAGGGCTTGGGAGGGGGAGCTCTGCTGGAGAAGGTTTCCCGTTGCCTGCTGGTAGGGTGAAGCTCACCTTGGTGGGTTGGACCCAAGACCTTGGCTGTGTTCACCCTAATGGGCTCCGGGACTGTTCCTAGGGATGTCCAAGAGCTCCAAGGCATGGGACTCCAGCTCTAAGTCTGCAACTCCATACAGCTGGGGACAAGAGACCTGCAGCCATCCTCAAGGTGGCCAAGGGAGGTCCCAAACGTGGCTAGATAGCCAAGACTGGGGCTGGGAGAGTCCAATTATGGGGGGGCAGGAGGGACAAAGTCTCCCCAAGATCCCTGCCCAGGGCCCTGCAGGGATGTCCCCTGGGAAGTGCAGTCCCACGGCCTGGTGGTGCTGCACTGGATCATCTACTTGGTTGAACCTACGCTTGCCGGAGGTGCAGGGTACGTTGGAGGGTGCCTGAGGAGGGGGATCTGCTGCAACACAGAGCAGAGCACCGTAGAGGTGAGTGAACATGTCCTACCTCCCATTGAACGTGTCCTACCTCTCGTTGAACCACGGAAGGGTTCCTGGACCTCGGCTACGCTACAAGGCCCTGTTCTGCAGAACAGAGCCTGCTTGGACATCAGCCTGGACACAACACCTTCCTGCCAGCACCATACCAAAACCTTGCAGCAGTGGCAGGGCCGGTCTGCTCTGCGAGGAGAGCGTCGACTCAGCACATATTTGCTCCTCGTTTACTGGCTGTTGCTTGTAAAAATCCCCCAAATTCCGTTTTAAGAGCTGCGGTCCTTGCACGCAACGTCCCCGTCGGAGAGCTAGGGAGAGCTGCACACCATCACGGGCCAGCTGGTGCAGAACGGGGCGGGCGCTGGACTTCACAGAACGTCCGAGGTTGGAAGGGACCTCTAGGGATCCTCTAGTCCAACCTTCCTGCTCCAGCAGGCACACCCAGGGCATGTGGCACAGGGTGGCATCCAGGTGGGTTTGGAGACCTCCAGAGAAGGAGGTGCCAGGACTGGAGAGGTGCCCGTTTGCAGCTGGGTGGGTGAGTTGAACACAGCAGAGTGATGGAGGTGGAAGGCATGGGAGATCTGGAGCGTGATAGAACCATCTTCCCAGGGGCTGCGTGCCGAAGAAGGGCCTCTGCAGAAGGCTGTTGTCTCCATTTGATGGGACATTTTGCTGGGCTTGAGCTCTTGCAGCACAATGGGAGAGTTGGTAGCTTTGCGCTAAATCCTGTAGTCCTGCCTATGTTTCTCACCAGGCAGAGGTGGGTTTTGGTGAAAATTAGCCGAGGGATTAGTAGTCCCCAACTGAGCTGATTTCGTGTCGGGCTGAGCTAACCAAAGCCCAGACGGAGCTGGGAGACAGCCACGATCTGAGGGGGGGTTCGAGCATCACACACACAACTGGGAATAGTTATTTTTAGGACATCCTTTAGTTTGGAACAGAACCAAGTAAGGAAAATGGTTCAATATGGTTCCAATATTAAAAAAAAAAAAAAGGCTGAAAATTATTGGGTTTAAGAAGAATATCTAGGAAGAGCATCTGGGACAATACCTCTGGA